AAAAGTTCTCTTCGCCCGATTTGAGAAAAAAAAAGACGGCGAAGCAAAATCAAAACCTAGATTCGAAAGATTGAGAAAGCGAATGAAAATGAGTTAGTGAGGACCTCCGGTGTCGGACAGCCCGACCCATCTCCGACGAACCCTAGAAATGGAACAATTTTGGTAAAATTCTAGAAATTACACAACTCAACTGGTGCCAAAGAATACATACGCACGCGTACGAGTTTTAGAGAGAGAAAAAAAGCGCACACACACAGAGAGAGGAGAGAGAGAGAGAGAGAGAGAGAGAGAGAGAGAGAGAGAGAGAGACTTACGTGTTTTAGGAATAGCTGAGGCGATATGAGATGTGAAGGATCGAAGGCTATTTATATGCGAGAGCTGGCTTAAAATGCGCCGTCGATTCTCGTGCCGTTATATCTAACGGTTTAGAATTAATCTCAATATATTAACGATCACGGGATGAAAGGTTCAGTCTCGTCAGACCAGATGCATACAAGTGGCGGCCGTGTCAGATGTGTGATGAGGGATTTTGGGCTAACCGAGCGAGTGTTTGGGCTGTCGACTTCGCACGCCAACGGCCCACTTTCTTTTACTTTCCTAATGTTTTCCGGTAGGCCTCATATCTATATCTATATCTATATCTATCTATATCTATATCTATATCTATATTAAAAGCCAACTTATTTACCAAAAACAATAGCAAAAAAAGTCAACACGCATTTAATGCATACTTTAATTGGAAATTTTTTACTATATGCATTAAATGCTTGCATATTTACATTTACTATCCAAATATGATCTTTAAGATTTTTTTCCTTAAATAATTTATGCAATGATTTTACTGATATTCATTATAATTAATATTTGTCGAGTAATATTTTTTAACCTTTATTTAATTATATAACACTAATATTTTATAAAAAAAATAATATTATTTATTATTTAAAAGATTATGATCACATCATTAAATGATTTTATTGATGGTTAGATAATAAAATTATATTAGTTATTCTTTAAAATTTCGACATGTTATTCATTTGTATATTATTGTCAACTATGATAGTGTTTTTATCACTTTTTTTTGTTATGTTTCAAAAATGAACTAATTGTAAAATATTTTTCTATTGCAAAGTATGTAAAATAAACTATAAAACCTTAGGATGAAAATTAGAAAAAATCTCTTGATTATGTAAGGGATTTATTTTTTGGCAATTGCTAAATCAATTTTCTTAAAAAAATTATTATGAGAAAATTGAATTCTAAAAAATTATGTGTGTGTATTCTGTAAACATTTATACACAAAATTTTATTTTGAATTTCATTACATAAATTAGTACGAAGAAGACTACTTCTATAAATTTTATAAATAATAATAATGAAATTATATGACTGTAAATTTTATAATAAAATAATAATTGAGTATTATATGTTGAAGATGAATAAATAAAATTCTTATTTTTTCTTATATCAATGAAAAAATATATATTCTAAAATCAAATTTATATTAGTATAACGTATTTGCGAAATACTGCATTAATTAATATGTTAATTGTCCGGCTAAAATAAACATCACTTATTAATAGATGTGAAATATGGATGATCCAAGTCTATCGTTTTTTTCCGCCTAAAAGTACAAGTCCTATAGAAATGATTGATTTATTAAATGTATCTCGTGCATCGCACGGGCTATGCACTAGTTAATATAATAAGGTATTTTATTTATCAAATTTAGTAGCATGAAAAGTCAACGTGATTAATGCATTGTTATTTTTATTCATAATTTTATTTAATTATTTTATTTATTTGTCTTATACCCATAAAATCAGTTTAAGAAAAAAAAATCTCATAACATCTGATAAGTAAAAATAAGGGACGTAAAATTTTTACTAAAATAAAAAAGACTTTATTCATTTGTCTTACTCCATATTAGAGCATCTCCAATGTGACTTTTGACATTATAAAAATTAATCTATATCATCTACTTTTGAAAGTGTGTTACTAATTTGTTCTCCAATACATCTTGTCATGAGCTCTTTCATGATGAGGTGGATAACATTTAATGTTGACAATGTTGAGCACACTTTCTAATATCTAACACCATGTTAAACATGAAGACTAGTTAATTCACTTTATATTTTATTTAATTTTTTATTTTTCTTGTATTAATGATTATTTTAATTGGTTCACCTATACAACTAACTTCTTATCAAATTGATGCATTGGAGATACTAATTTGATTCAAATTTCTACTCTTTTAACAGTATTCCTAGTTGGATTAACATTACAATCATTGATTGACATGTGTTAAAAATTATAGTCTTTCAAAGGTGTAGCATTGGAGATGCTCTTAACAACGATTTTTTCAAAACAAATCTCATAAAATCGGTGAAGTCAAAATTTGTACGTAATGTCTATATATACTAAAAAAAGGCAGATTAAAAATTCTTTATCTAATTCCTTCTTTTCCTTATCTAATTCCTTCTTTTCCTTATCTAATTCCTTCTTATTATCTAATTGTATGGAAATCTGTTCTGCTTTTGTTCAATACTATAATTGTATTTATATCCCATAAAATCAGTTTAACAAAAAAAACTCCATAACATCCGATAAGTAAAAAAAAAATGTAAAATCTTTACTAAAATAAAAAAAGGTTTTATTTATTATCTAATTGTATGGAAATATGTTATGATTTTGTTCAAACCGATTTCTGTATATTCAGATTCTGATTTTCTAATAAAAATATCAACAACAATATATATATACTCTACCCATTATAAATTACAAATCTCAAAATATTGAGTCATCATCTTCCTCACTGTCAACCTCCCGAACAAAAAATATCTTCAATCAGTCTTTTATTCAAAACAATTAATTAAGAATTTGGGTTAATCAAACAAATCAGAAGGTCTAATAGACCTATGCTCAAAGTTCGAATTGTGAAAATGTTTTTCCAAGACTAGGTCAGCACATACAAATCATATCTCGAGTTGGTTCTGCATGATAAAACTGTAAGCCAAATTATTTAAATTTTTGTTTTAATTTTGAAATTTGAAACGTATATTTTAATTAATTTTTTTTTTTCGTGTATGTATTCAGATATTTTTGTACATGTTTAGTGAAATATATTTTCGATTATTCTTTTAATTATATTTTCAGATTTGCAATTTGTCTTATTTATTCTATATATCGTGTATGTATTTAGATATTTACATTATTTATATTTATTTTCGTATATTGTAAAACTTTTATTGAATATTGCATCTTGTAGTATAATAATCCTCAAATAATATATCTGTGTATGGCACAAGTCACGTACTATATATATCCCGTACATTTTTCTTTATTTATTTATATAATTATAAGGCTAGACAAATGGCCTTAAAATTATGCACCTCGTGCATCGCACGGACTCTGTTCTAGTTGAAACTTGAAAGAACAACAACATGTACATCTAATATCATGTATTTTGGCTGGTTTATACATGACATTAAATATCCTTCAAAATTATGTGAAAATTTGTATTAATTAAATAATAGTTTTGTTTATCAAATAATGAAGAATTTATCTCTAAATGATAATTCAATTTACATAATATAATGAAGGGTAAAATATACTTCATAATTTATATAAAAATTGTAATGGCATGATTGGCATTGAATCATTAAGGAAAGAAATTATCATTCTCTTGTTCATTCCTAATACCATTATTAACGTATTTTTGGGAAAATAATGACTATTAGAATAAGAACTAGTGAATATCATGTGTGATGCACGGTGGGCTTGTTTCTTAAACCTTTTTTTAAACTTTATTTTAACAATATATCAGCTTGCTAACTGTTTATATTAATATATCATATTTTAACATGTATATTAATTTTTTGATATAGAAAAAATAATAATTGTACTTATTTTTTAATCATAATACTCAACTATTTTATTTTTTTTTTTGAAATTTGTTGTCGTATAATGCCATTATGATTATTATTAATATTATTATTTATAACATTTTTAAAAGTAGAATTATATATATATATATATATGTATATATATATATGGTTATAAATATTTAATATACATTAATACTATTTAGTTATGTAATTCATTTAAAAATATTTAAACAAATTCAAAATAAATATTGTGCCACATATGCATTCTATTCATTTTTAGAATTTGTACTACCTCATAATAATTAAAAAAGAATCATATATATATATATATATATATATATATATATGTGTGTGTGTGTGTGTGTGTGTGTGTGTGTGTGTATGTGTGATTTTATGTCATTGTTAAATATGTAAGCCTAAAAAATAGAATTATTAGCGGTGAATTTTGTGATAGAGGTTTTTTAATTAAAGTATTAAATTTTATGATAGATGATATTAACTCAAAATATTGTGTTTGATTTATTTCAAATGTATTAACCATTTATGATTTATGTGCGGAATGGTTTTGATAAAAATCATGGTAGTGTATAAATTATTT